TTCTTGAAGAATTTCTTCATTTTTAAAAAAATCTTAGTTCTCTCTCCTTCATGCGAAGCATTTCTAGGTTTCTATCTTCAAGGTCACTAATTCTCTTCTCCATAAGGTCTACTCTATTTTTATGCTTTGTACACTATTTTTTATCTCATTAATTGTGTCCTTCATATCTGGAATTCCTGTTTGGTTTTTTTTTTTTTTTTTTAGAGCTTCAGTCTCTTTGGTGAAGTATTCCTTCTGTTCATTAATTTTATTCCTGAGCTCATTGAACTGTCTTTCTGAGTCCTCTTGTACCTCTTTGACTTTCTTTATGATAGCTATTTTAAATTCTCTGTCAATTAGATTGTAGTCTTCTGTGACTTCATATTTGGTTTCTGGAGGGTTGTCATTTTCCTTCTGTTCTGCAGGGTTTCTGTAGTTCTTCATGGTGTTTGACAAATTGATCCTCTGCTGGAGCAGTTGTGGTAGCAATCACCTTTTCTTATTTGGGTACAACTTGGTTCTAGTCACTTGGGTCTCTACTGGCTCTTCGCAGTCCTGTGCACCACTTGTGCTGCTGCTCCTGGGTTGTCTTGGGGTGCTGGTTGCCCCACTGCCAGGGTTGCTGAGTTCACGGGTCTCACTGTCTCTGGTGGGGGCCTGGGGATCTGGGGACTTGTAGATAGCCCATGCTGCTGGTGGACCTGGTGTTGGGGTTGCCACGCTGGGGGTTGGGTCACTGGTTCTGCTGTGGTTCCTGTTGCTTCTGGTTGAAAATTCTACCTGCCACCATTGTAACAGGGCAGGGGCTGTTTTTTATGTTCCCACCCTGTCTGCTCACAGTTGTGCCAGTCAGCCACTTTGCGTTCATATGGGCCAGCCACAGCTGCTCGGTAGGGCACCTTTGTACAGGCCAGGCTGCTGTGCTCAGCAGGTGTGTTGTGCTTGTGTGGGTGAGACCACCACCCGGTGGGGTGCAGCTGTGGGCTGGGCTGCTGCGCTAGGTGGTCAGTTGTGTTTCCATGGGTGGGGCTGCTGCTCTGGCAGGGCACCTCAGCACAGCCTGAGCCACTGCTACTTGGTGGGGAGCATTTGTCCTGGTAGGGTTGCTGCGGCAAGGTGGGTATTTTTGCTGGCTGGGCCACTGTCACTCTGCAAGCGTTTGTGTGTGGGCCAGGCTGCCCTCATGTCCACTCACAGTCATGCTGGCCATTGTGTGAGGATCCACTATCTGGATTGCTGCTGCCAGGGAAGGGGAGGGGGTCACTCCCTTAGTTTCACTGCTTCCAGGGTTCCAATCCACCCACCTTCAGATCTCTCAGGCATCCTGTTGTGCTGGGTAGGGAATCCTCTGTTGGTTAATGGATGTCCGTTTAGCTGTAACTTAGAGGGGAGAGACAAAGGGAACAACTTACTCTGCCATCATACTGACATCACCCTCTCAGCATAATTATTTTGAGATTTATCTGTGTTCTTGTATGTATCAATAGTTGATTCCTTTTTGTTGCTGAGTAGTATTTCATTGTGGGGATATGCCACAATTTTTTAATCCATTCTCCTGTTGAAGGACATTTTGGTTGTTTCCAGTTTGAGGCCATTATATATGAAGCTACCATGAACATTTGTGTACAAGTCTTTGCGTGGACAAATGTTTTCAGTTCTCTTGAGTAAATAGCTAGGAATGGAATGGCTGGATCCTATCATAAGGTATGTTTAACTTTTAAGAAACTGCCAAACTTTGAAAATAGCTTTACTGAGATATAATTTATATATCATACAATTCACTCATTTAAAGTGTATAATTCAATATTTCCTACTTAATGCACAAGGTTATGCACCCATCATTACAACCTAATTTTAGAACATTTTTATCCCCCTGAAAAACCCTGTACCCATTAGCGGTCACTCCCCACTCCTCACCCCACCCCCCTTCCTCAGTCATAGGCAACCACTAATCTACTTTCTGTCTCTTTAGATTTGCCCATTCCAGACATTTCATATTAATGGAATCATACAATATGTGGTCTTTTGTGACTGGCTATTTTCAACTAGCATAATGTTTTCGTCATTCATCCATGTTGTAGCATGTATTAGTGTTTCATTCCTTTTTTATTACTGGACAATATTCCACTATATGGATATACCACATTTTCTTTATCCATTCATTAAGTGCTGGACATTTGGGTTGTTTTCACTTTTTGGCTATTATGGATAATACTGCTATGAACATTTGTGTACAAGTTTTTGTGTGGATCTCTTGGGTACATACCTATCAGTGGAATTGTTGGGTCATATGGTACAAAGTGGTACCATTTTACATCTCCACCATTATCCAGTTCCTCCACATCCTAGACAATATTTGGTATCATCAGTTTTTCTAATTTAAGCCAATATACTGGGTGTATAATAGTATCTCATTGCATTTTAATTTGCATTTCCTAATTATTAATAATGGTGAACATCTTTTCATGTGCTCATTTGCAATCCATATATCTTCTCTGATAAACTATTTAAAACTTTTGTCCACTTAAAAATTTGATTATATCCCTTATTATATATAATAATATATATTACATATTCTGATCACAAGTGCTTTATCAGACATATGACTTCCAAACATTTTCTCCTGGTTTGTTGCTTATCTTTTCATTCTCTTAACAGTATCTTTACTGTTTTATAATTTTAGTTTTATAATTTTAGGTTTTACATATAGGTCTGCGATCCATTTTTATACATGGTAGAAAGTATGGATTGAAATGGCACTTTTTTGCATGTAGATATCTAATGTAGATATCTAATTGTTCCAGCATCATTTGTTGAGAAGACAATGCTTTCTTCACTGAATTGCGTTTGCATCTCAATGAAATCAGTTGTCAATATTTATGTGTGTGTCTATTTCTGGACTTTCTCTGTGTTCCACTCACATATGTATATCTTCACACCAATACCACTCTGTCTAGATTAATGTAGTTTTCTGATAAGTCTTGAAATCAGAAAGTGCTAATGTTCCAACTTTGCTTTTTTTTCAAAGTTGTTTTGGCTATTTTAGGTCCTTTGGGTTTCTACATGAATTTTAGAATCAACTCGTCAATTTCTACAAATAAAGTCTAATAGGATTTTGACTTGGATTGCATTGACTCTATAGGTCAACTTGGGGAGAATTGACATTTTAACAATATTGAGTCTTCCAACCCATGATCAAGGTGTATACTTCCATTTATTTAGCTCTTTCAAAATTCCACTCAGCATCTTTTTTAGTTTTTAGTGTTCAGGTCTTGTATGTTTTTGGGGGGTCAGATTTATCTTTGTAGTTCACATTTTTGATGTACTGTAAATAGTACTATTTTTGAAATTTCTATTTCTGATTCTTCATTGCTATTACATAGAAATATAGTTGATTTTTTGTATATTGATCTTATATCCTCCAACCTTGATAAATTCACTTATTATTTCTAGTAGTTAGTTTAATAGTTTGTTAAACAGTCAACTATCTTCTAAAGAGATTTAAATAATAAGATAAAAATGTGGTATATTTGCCCATGTGTTTACTATTTCCAGTGTCCTTCATTCCTTTGTGTAGCTCCATATTTCCATCTGATGTCTTTTTCCTTCTACCTGAGGATTTCCTTTAACATTTCTTGTATGAGTCTACTGGTCATCAATTCTTTCATCCTTTGTATGTCTGAAAAAAATCTTTATTTTGCCTTCATTTTTGAAATATATTTTTGCTAGCTATTGAATTCTAGCTTAACAGTATTTTTCTTTCAATATTTTAAAGGTTTTGTTCTACTGTTTTCTCATTTGTATTGTTTTCCAATGAGAATTCTGTTACCATCCTTATCATCGTTCCTTAGTATGAAACATGTCTTTTTACCCTGGCTTCTTTTAAGTTTTTCACTGGTTTTGAGCAATTTGATTTTGTTGTGCCTTGGTGTAGTTTTATTCATGGTTGTTGTGCTCGTGGTTTGTTGAGCTTCTTGGATCTATGGGTTTATAGTTTTCATAAACTTCAGTAAAAATTTGGCCATAATTTCTTCAAATATGTTTTCTGTGTCTCTCTTCTCTCCTCTCCTTTGGGGACTCTAATTATGTATTTTCTAGGCTGCTTGAAATTAACCCACAGCTCATTGATGCTGTATTTATTTTTAAAAATATTCTTTTCTGTGTGTTTCATTTTGGATAGTTTTATTGCCAGGTCTTCATGTTCACTAATCTTTTCTTCTTCAATATCTAATCTGTCATTAAACTCAACCAGTTTATTTTTTTGTCTTAGACATTATAGTTTTCATCAATAGAAGTTTGATATGAGTCTGTTTTATATCTTATATATTTCCACTTAACTTCTGAATGGATAGAATACAGTTGCAACAATTATTTATTTCCCTTATCTAAGTCTTACACTTGTGTCATTTGTTAGGTTTTAATTTACTCATTTCTCTCTTCGTTATGGGTCATATTTTCCTGCTTCTTTGCATGTCTGTCAATTTTTGATTGGATGCTAGACACTTTACCTGTGGATGGTGGATATTACTGTATTCCTCTAAATAGTCCTTAGATTTGTTCTGTAACTCAGTTACTTGGAAGCAGTTTGACCCTTTCTGGTAAGATGTTCTAGGTGAAACTGTGTTTTTGAGTCATGTTTAGTGCTAATTATTCCCCACTACTGGTGCAGACCCTTCTGTGTACTTTACCCAGTGCCCTATGAGTTATAAAGTTTTCTAGTTTGGAAAGTTACTTAGCCTCTCAGTTGCTCTGTGAACAGGTACTCTTCCTTCTACTCCTTTCTGGTGGTTCTTTCCTTGGCTCAGGTAATTTCCTCTTGTTCTCCTCTCTTGAGTTCTCTCTCTGTGTAGCTCTCTCCTCTCTGGTTCTCTGTCTTGCAAACTCTGGCTTCCTAGGTCTATCTGGACTCCAAACTCTATCTCATCAACTTAAAGTTTACTGAAGTCTACCTGAGTTCCTCCTTCATGCACTGTAGCCTGTATTGCCACTAAGGCAGTAAGCTGAGCAATCAGACAACTCACCTCATTTATTTCTTGTCTCTCAGGGTTCACTCTTTTGTTCTCTGATGTCCAGTATCTTGCAGACCATTGTTTCATATATTTTGTCCAGTTCTTTAGCTCTTTCAAGAGGGGGGGAAAATCTTATCCTTGTTGCTCTTTCATGGGCAGAAGTGGACATTTATCTCTGTATTTTAAAAATAAAATTCTCATGTGATTAAGATGCAGTCATCCCAGCCCTAGTCTGTAGGTTAACATTTGAGAACCACTGCTCTAACCCTATTGGACTACTTCTCTCTGATCTTCAGTCATCCATACACCTTCATTTCTATGTGTTTGCTTTTCCACTTCCCTAAGTCCTGAATACCTTCTTCCCCTTTATTTTCCCTGTCTAAATCTTAACAATTCTTTGGCGTTTAATCAAAATGCTATCTCCCCCTTCTCAGAATAGCAGGGCCTTCATCTCTCTGCTGAGAAAGTCATTCCTTCCAAGTGCTTCATAACAAATTTATTATATTTTTTATCATAGCAGTTGTTATATTCTGCATTTTATGATAATTGTTTGCTGATTCATTTGTAAGACTCCTAAGGTCAGACATTTTGTCTTTCTTCACAAAGTAGGTATAATATTGTATCCTAAGGAATGAAAGAGGGCCTTGAAAGCAAGAGACTAAGTAATAGAACTAAGCAGTACAGAAAGAATGTCTTAGAGTTGGCATAAGGTGGTTTTCAAGCCTTGTTTTAGTTCAGGCAATCTATGATCGTGTCAGCAAATAGGTTTCATCTTGCTTGGTGAATGTGGTTGAACAGTATGTTGAGAAGGATTCTGAGGCAACATCCTCACTCCATGAGAAAGCTAGTCATTAGATAAGAAAATGTTGGAATATCTCAGGTATTTTGATAGTTTTGGCTAAGCATTGGGATATTTTGAAACAATGGCTAATAAGTACAGTCATGTGCCACATAATGACATTTTGTCAATGACGGACTGCATATATGACAGTGGTCTCATAAGATTAGTACCATATAGCCTAGATATGTTGTAGGCTATACCATCTAGGTATAAATATTTGTGTAAGTACACTCTATGATGTTCACACAATGACAAAATTGCCTAACAATGCCTTTCTCAGAATGTATCCCCATTGTTAGGTGATGCACGACTGTACACAATACATGTCAGATAGTGTTCTAAGCATGATGCACATATCAACTCATCTACCACCCCTGACAACCCACTGAGGTAAGTTCTATTAATACCCTATTTTGTAGGTAGGGAAACTAAGGCCCAGAGAGGTTAAGAAACTTGCTCAAGACACCCAGCTGGTAATTCTGGCTCCAGAGTCTGTGCTCTTGTAACTATTTTACTGTCTTTGTATTGAACATTTAATTTTCCAGAAAAATTGAGGTAGTTAGCCCACATAGCTATACTTTTATAGTATGGAAAGGACAAAGGGAATTTGTTGCTTATTAATATGATAATTGTCCAAACTTCCCAAACTTTTACCTTAGATTAGAAAGATTTATCTTTCATGATTCTGATAGTCATGTCTGATCCTTTGTGTTTTATTTCTTTAGGATCTCTTGCCAGCTCCATCTTTGACCCACTCAGATCTCTCGTGGGGGCTTCAGGAGGAGTCTATGCTCTGATGGGAGGCTATTTTATGAATGTTCTAGTGGTAAGAACTTTGAGAATGGAATCTATGGACCCTCCCCCCCCCCTTTTTTTTTAAAATAATATCTGGTATTTGGTTCAGGGAATCTTCATTTATCAATATTTACTGAGCACTCATCTTCCTTCTGGCCACTGGAGTTTTCCTTTCATATTTTATCTTTATTTTTTCTTTCCTGATCTCAAAAGTAATAAATACTAAATAAAATTTTAAATTGAGAAATATAAAGTCAAAATCCCCAATATAGTCTGTTAACAGTTTAATAATATCCTTTCAGACCTTTCTCTATATGTATTCAAAATCCTATCAATATTAATACTACAAAAGTGGAACCATCCTTACAGATATTGTTCTGCATCTTGATACAGAGTACCCTGGCCACCTGCACGCCCGTGCACAGAAATGCACCTCGATCTTTTCAAGTGCTCCACAGCACCCTCTATACAACAATATCAGGACTTATCTAATCCTTCCTTGAAAAAAATTTGAGGTGATTCCAGCTTTTCACATTTACAAATAATGCTGTAAGAAATGTTCTTTCACATTTATCTTTTTGCATTTTTGTAATTTTTTGTGTGTAGGATAAATTCCTAGAAGCTGGTTTAGTGGATTAAGGCTTTACATTTTCATAGATAAATGCCAATGGCCCGTCAAAGTTGGCATACCATTTTACACTCCCATGATATAGTACGTGAGAATGCCAACCACATTTTAAAAAAATTTTTCCTTTTCTCCCCAAAGCCCCCCAGTACATAGTTGTGTATTTTTAGTTGTGGGTCCTTCTAGTTGTGGCATGTGGGACTCCACCCCAGCATGGCCCGACGAGCAGTGCCATGTCTGCACCCAGGATTCGAACCGGCAAAACCCTGGGCTGCTGAAGTGGAGCACACAAACCCAACCATTTGGTCACGGGGCCGGCCCCGCCAACCACTTTTTAAAACAGGCTAAAATCCTGACTAGCTGTTAATCCTTTAACCATGTAGGTATACTTTAAAAATACTCTAGGACGGGGCTGGTCCGGTGGCGCAGCCGGTAAGTGCGCATGTTCCACTTCAGCAGCCCGGTGTTCGCTGGTTCGTATCCTGGGTGCAGACATGCCACCACTTGGCAAGCCATGCTGTGGTAGGTGTCCCACATATAAAGTAGAGGAAGATGGGCATGGATGTTAGCTCAGGGCCAGTCTTCCTCAGCAAAAAGAGGATTGGCAGCAGATGTTAGTTCAGGGCTAATCTTCCTCAAAAAAATAAAAAAACCACACAAAAACTCTCGGACGAAAAATATGAAGCAATTATAAAACTGCTCCAAAAGTAAAAGTCATTTAGAAAAATGTTTTTCAAACCTGGGATTGCAACTCCTTAGCAGTTCACAACTCAGTTTAAGGGATTGTGACCAGAAATTAAACAAAAAGAAAAAAAAAAATTTCAGTATGCATCACACATAAGGGTAAATACTGTTTGATTTATATGTGTGCTGGATTGTTATGTAAATTATTTCTTACTGTACGTTATGGTCACAACAGTTTGAAAAGAATTGATTTATAATAAACATGGCTGTTTCACCATCTTTACTCCTTAGGAAGAGAGTTAGTGACTTGAAAGAGAGAGAGAAGTAACTCAAAAAATTAAAATGGAAATGTCTTTCTGACTCAACAATTCTCTAGTAACCCCCGAGGGTACTTGCAAACTGGACTGAGACTTTTCAAAGCCAAAATCAAACTTTCGTTTTTTGACCAACATTTAAAAATTTTTTGGAATTATCTCAAAAAATTAAGGTAATACTCAAATTTTAGCTAAGTCTTTGCTAACTCCTATTTGGAAAGAGGATGAAGACATTTCAAGTGAACCTTAACCAAAAAAACTTGGGAATATTTCATCAGACTTAGTTTGACAGCATCTATCTATCTATCTATCTATGACATGTTGTGTTGATTTTATATTATTTATATTTGGATTATTTCCTGCTGATAAAATTGTGTCTAGTTTATATCACGGAATTAAATATCATGTTTCATTTTATTCCCCATTCGCACCAGTGTTGTACTTCCCAAATACATTTGAAACCTGGGCTGTTACACCAGTGCTTTGTTTTGCAAATATTGACACCCAAGCTTTATTTTAAATGAAAAACCAAATGAAGAGGGAAGACAGCTGAGGTTTCATTTCCCAATAGATAGCTTATATTATTATTATTTATCTCTTTGCAAGAATTTTCGAGAAATGATTCCTGCCTTTGGAATTGTCAGACTACTGATCATCATCCTTATAAGTAAGTTTGTTTTGCGAACTCATCACACCTTCAGTTTTATCGGTTCCACCTTCAGAAGGCCTTCTCATATGTTCTAAAGACTAACACGTAGCATGATTGCTAGCCTAGAGTCAGAAGGACTTGTTGGCTCCATAGTCCTAAGCAGAAAGGCGTAAATGGAGGAGTTTTCACAGACTCTCATGGGTGATTCTTAGAGGGGACTCAGTAATGTGTTTTTGCCTTTTGCTTCTTTCTGGAGAAGTCAAGAGAGTAAAGCTCTAGGCACTCCTTCCACGTTAACAACAGCTTCATATATGTTTCATAGAACTGGATTTTTCTCATTCATACATCGGATTCTGTATACGATTTTTTTCTGAAAAGAGAAAGCTTGAAAACCACTGATATAATCTATTTTCTTCCTTAATTTCTAACTTTTCAGATGAAAAAGAAAAACTGATCTAGGGTATAAGCATGGAGTGGTGGCTGAGGTTGGAAGGTGGGAGCAGAGGCGAAGGAATCAAGAGGTCAGGGAACTGGGAGGATGACTAATGTGACTTTTGACATCGCCAGGAATTATAGTAGAGACTCTCATGCTGAGGGCGTCGAGGCAGAGCGTTCAATCTGGAGGGGAGGTGGAATTTCAGCTGAGTCTGAAAGCCATGGTAGCTTTTGGATGGTGGCAGGACATACAGGGCAGAAGAAAAGAGGAGCAAAGGCAGGGCTACTAACCTGTGTTTCCAGACCTGCTCCAGCTGAAGCTCTGTCCACACTGAGGGTGTGGGGAGAAGGACGGACACTGGGATCAGACTGTGGGGTCAGACTTGAGGGCCAAGACAGAGGTTCCACTTGATAAAGGCTAAGATTTTGGCTGTCCACATGATAAGAAAAAATGATTCTGCTAATTGATATTGAGTTCAACTGTCCACATTGTTGGGAACAGGGACAACCATCTCTGAGGATAGAGACTAAATTTAGTTTATGAACAGTTGAACTGTAAAAACAGTTATTTCATCCTGAGAGAGAATAAGTGACTTGTTTCTAGTTTATACCAAACTGTATGTAATGTTTTTCTCCATAAGAAATCCGAAAAGTGAGGGGAAGTTGTCAGCACAGAAAGGGGAGCAAGGGTCTGGAGTAAGTTAGGAGAGTTGCTGTGGGAGCAGAGCCACCACCTTTGTTGTTAAGAGTCACAACTAGAACCAAGGGACAAGTCCTTAGACTGAAAAATATTTCCCCAGTGACCTGGCCTTCAGTCAGTCTGCCTCTTTTAGGTAATTATGAATGACTTTTGTAAAATCAGCCTCAAAGCCTTGATGGGGAAATGGTTTTAATACTCTTTGATGTTGGAGTAAAAACTCTTTCCTCATGCCCAGGGAATCTCCAAAGATAGTCTATGTCACATGACGTCATTCTTCAGGTAAGTAATACAGAACCTGAGTGGTTAGATCATGCAATCATCTTACAGAGCAGGTAGGATATGCTAATACTAACCTTCCCCACTTCCTGGCACACGCCATTTCTAAAAGTTCTTTGGCCTGATTTACCTGCTATTGCAAATGAGAAAAAGTTACACAACAGATTAATAAAATACATTTTTATTTTATTTAAAGATTGGCACCTGAGCTAACATCTGTTGCCAATCTTTCTTTCTTGTCTTCTTCTCCTCCCCAAAGCCCCCAGTCCATAGTTGTGTATTCTAGCTGTGAGTCCCTCTGGCTATGCTGTGTGGTACGCCGCCTCAGTGTGCCCTGTCCTTGCCCAGGATCCGAACTGCTGAAACCCTGGGCCGCTGAAGCGGAGCATGTGAACTTAACCACTCTGGCACAGGGCTGGCCCCCATTTTTATTTTAAATGTTTCCTTGGGAAAATGTATAGCATTTTTTTAATGGTAAATATTATTCTTAATTGTGAAGGACAATTGGCCTTAAGGACCTTCCTTCATTAAACATTATTTGTTGGATGTGTTTTCTAAGGATGCAACTGAGCTTCTCTTTGGAAAAAGTTAAGGAAATCTCACATTTTCATCCTTCAAAAGAATCCATATAAAGGCAACTCTCTTAAAATGAGTGTCAAATTTTTAGTGAGGACAATGCTTTGGTTTATTGGAAAAAGGGCTGCTTCTCAGGTGGGAAGACATGTCTCAGTTTAGAGACTGCAGCAACTTCGTAGCAAACTCTCCTGGGAAGCAGAAAGGGCCAGGCAGAGAGATGTCAGCAGCGGGCAAGAGAAGAGAGAAATGGAATGGAGAAAGTGACATGCTAAGGGCTCCAAAGCCTTTTTGAGAGGTGGCCTCCTCTGGTGGAAGGCTAGAGCAGAGTAATTGTTTCCAGTAAGTCAGCCTGTTCTCTGGCAGTAGTTTTCTTATACTTTACTAGTCCTATCTTTGTGTTATTTACACTGGATCAGGAAATGCAAATGATGATTGAAAATATGACACAGCTACATTTATCCAGCATTCTGTAAGTCATTTACAATTAAATTAATATTGAGTGCTTCCTCGACCTCAATTCTTGTACAGAGCCTTCAACATCAATACAGTATTGAAAGGGAAACTAGCTAGAACACATGGTCCTGATGCTATTTTCCCGAAGGCAAGGACTGGGTCTTTCCGTCTCCTAGGACACAGGGGCTCACTAAGTAGAGCACTGGGAACTGGGGCATGGGTGTGGAATGTGACAGCTGCACCGGTTGTTTCCAAGTGGCTGGCACATTTAGGGCGGAGTTCCTCTAGGCTAAGAAACCCAGGAAGCTCCTTTTGCATCCCAGATCTGACTTATTTGAAGAATGGTTCTGGCTCTAACTCTCCCACTGGAGAATGTAGACTCATTTCCTTTCTTGGCCCATCTTCAGTACTCCTGATGGTTATCAGCGGCAATTAGCGTGGTGGGTGAGAGTGGGGCTGCTTAGGGTTCAAATGCTGCCCCCGCCTCTGAGCTCTGTGCCTTGGTTTCTCTATGTACAAAACGCCACCATCATTCCTCACTTGAATTGTGCCATAATAGTAATCTAGCTGGTCTTCCTGCTCCTGTCCTTGCTCCCTTTATAGTCTATTTCCTATTGTGCAGTCAGAATGATCTTTTAAAAAGACAACCTAGATCACTCCTGTGCTCAAAAGCTTTCAAAGGCCTCCTATTGCTCAGAGTAAAAGTCAAAGTCCTTACAGTGGCCTATAAGCCCCTACATGATCTGTCCCCTACTTATCACCTATTGCTTTATTCCTAACTTTAATCCAGAATCACGTGGAGGTCTTGCTAAACACAGATTGCTGAGCACCACCTTCAGAGTTTCTGGTTCAATGAGTCTGGGGTGGGGCTGAGATGTTTAATTTCTAAGTTCCCAGGTGCTGCTGCTGCTACTGCTCTTGCGGGGGAGCCACACTTTGAAAACCACCTGTCCGCTTTGAAAGTGAGATCAACTGTGTTGGTATTCCTCACACACACCAGGCACATTCCTGCCTCAGGGACTTTGCACCTGCTCTTCCTACTTCCTGGAAGACTCCTGCTTCAGATGTCAGTGTGGCTTGTACCCTTATCTCTGTCAAATGTCATATTCTCAGTGAGATCCTCCCTGGGTCTCTTATTAAAAGTCACGCCCTCCTCCCAGCATTCCCAATGCTCCTTCCTCCCTTTGTATTTTCTCAATAACACTGACGACCACCTGACATGCTCATCTTTTACTTATTCGTGTGTTTGCCTCCCCCTGCTAGACTGTCAGCTCCAGGAGGCAGGGCTGTCTGATCTGTTCACTGCAGTATCTCTACCGCCTAGACTTGTGCCATTCGCACAGAAGACAATCAATAAATACTCGTTGGATGAATCAATCTGTAAAATGGGATAATGATAGTACCTATTTCACAGGGTCTTTGAGGGGATTAATGAGTTAATACATGTAAGGCTCTTAGAACAGCACCTGGCACAGAGTAGGTCTCAATAAACGTTAGCTGCCACCATTATCAGAGGGGAGCCAAAACCATTTAAATGCACGGCTGCAGAGATCCTGGGGCTTCATCGGCTTGTTTTTCCTTCTAGTTGGGTCGGACATGGGATTTGCTCTCTACAGAAGGTTCTTTGTCCCTGCCAGTGGGTCACCGGTGAGTTCAGTTTATTATTTTCTTAGTGGAAAATTTGTTCACCTATCATATCAATAGCTGAAAAGGGTCACCAAATAGGGGCAACAATTCTTTGATTGAGGGTAGCCAAATTTCCATTTCGAAGTTAAGAAAATTCCTGAGGAAACTGGACTTTTGGATTGTCCTTTTCATTTAACTTTCATAGCCCTGACCACTGGCTCTACTTCTCTGCACCTGCCATACTGGTAGCTATTCCGAAACGGGAGAGAAGGAATTTCACTGTCCACAGAGAATAAAAAACAGATTGGAAAACAGCAATGAAAATTTGGGTGCAGATGAATTCACAATATAAAGAAAACTGATAAAGAATTTAGTTTTGTTGGACGTAGTCTCTGAATTTGGTAGCTTCTCTTTGAGTATTTGTTTGTATTTCCTGTGTTTTAATTCTGACATTCCATTTATGTGGGGTCTGACTGTGCTCCTCCAGTGATCCCTCCTGGCAACTCAACCCTTGTTCTTTTGGTTGGCCGTACACGGAACCATCAGACGTGATGATGAAGGAGGAGGAGAAACAGTGGGCCTGCCTTGTGTATTCAGAGTGGATGAAACGACATTTTTTAGCTTTGCATGTGTTAGAATATCTCCTTTTCTCTGTGTACAGGAAGTTTTGTGTCTCTTTTGCCTCACCTCCTTGCTCTTCAGACTTTTAAGACTCTTGTTTGTCAGTATTTGGTTTTTAGTAAGAGAGATGCAACTGAATTATGCAATTAGCATTTTCTTCACTTATTTTCATTTCCCCTCCTTTTCTCCTAAGGTGTCTTTTGCGGCTCACATTGCAGGTGGATTCGCTGGAATGTCCATAGGTTACACTGTGTTTAGCTGCTTTGATAAGGCGCTGCTGAAGGATCCAAGGTTTTGGATAGCGATTGTGGCTTATTTAGCTTGTGTCTTATTTGCTGTGTTTTTCAACATTTTCCTATCTCCAGCAAACTGACCTGCCTCTAATATAAGCCAATTAATAAAAAGAGCCATCTAGGAAAAAACTGGAGGACTCTATGAAGAAACAGAGAAGTCACAGCACCTGCTGACAATTTTATAGAGGACAAACACCACTGAAGTCATCAGTTGCAAAGAATGCTTACAAAAGGAGTTAGGGTTTAAGGAAAGGGCTTCTGAATGCAAAGGGAGGGAAGAGGATGAGCGGGAAGGGAAGGGAAGTAAAAACCAGAGATTGCCTCTTTCCCAGGTGTATGTGGTGTGTGTATACATACATACATACATAGCGTGTAAATATCCTCTCAAAAAGAATTGCTCTTCTTCGAAGATATATTGTATTATTGTATTATTATTGTATCTATTGCTTGATAGAATCCACAAATACTGTAGTATGCTGATAATAAAAACTTTTCATACCTGTGTCAGACTATTGATAATCATTTTCTATCACTGTTTGAGTCCATAGATCACTGTTTGAGGTGCTTTCTATACATTATTGCCAATCTTTTTTAACAACCTAGAAAGGTGGCTATTACTCTGTATCTTAGAGAGGACATGGAAATTCTATAAAGTCAAATAACTTGTTTAACAGGGGGCAGGATTTAAAGATTGGTAACACCTTGAAAGCCCATATTCTCCCCCGCTACTGGTCTAACAATGCTCTGTCTCCCAAGTACTGAAAATTAAGACTATGATGGGAGTATAGGAATAAACATTTTTGTGGGTGCACCATGAATGGGAAATACCTTATAGACGAGGACTGAGAATTCTCTGGACTGCTAGTTTAAGACTCTGATAGCACGTCTAGGAACCTGGAATCAGCTTTCTGGTGCATATCAGATACCTGGACTCTGGATTCTCATGTATGATAAGCTTCTCATCCTCCACGTGGCTAGTGGCTGGCCCAGTAGTGGGTGGGATTTATTTACAAAAGGTAAAATGTCCTATCTGAAACTGAGAAACTCTATCCTTTTCTTGTATAGAACCAGATTGTTGGCCATTTTTTCCAAAATAGTGGTTTTAGATCATTTGAATACAGGAAATATAATTTTTTCTTCTTTCATCATCAACATGTTTTATTTATAAACATCCATCTAAATATGTTGCTGTATTCTGAAAGGAGCATCCACACTCCATAGATATATTGGGAAAAGTAGTATTTTAGCAATTTGGAAGAAACTGATCTGGGATTTGTTAAATATTTTTCTTTAAATTTGAGTATGAGAATATGAGTATGTTCTTGGTTAAACAAAGATTTGAACAAGAACTTAAAAGATAAAGCCCCCTTTACTTTCCCACCCAAACCTCTTTTCCCTGGTGATGACCACTGTCAACATCTGGGTGTATATTCTCCAAGACCTTTATCTATCCAGGATGAGCAGAAAGCAAAATTGATTTTGGCTGATGGCTGACTCAGTCACTGCATTGAACTGCACCAAATCTGCTCTACACCCTGAAAGGGATAAACTTGGAGAACAAGTTGAAGATGGCTGTGGTATAACTTCCAAGCGTGATCTGCTTCTCAGATTTACCTAAACTAGAAAGGTTTGGGTTAATCTGGTTTGCCTGATTAAATATACATATGAAAAGTAGATTTTAACAAGATAAATGAGATCATACTAGATGTATTGTTCTATAACTTGCTTTTTAATGACTTAGAGATGTTTCTCTATTAGTTCTCTGAGTTGCCGAGTGATAAAGACGTACTACAGTTCATTTAACCATTCCTCCACTGGACCCTTAAGTTGGTGCTAATTTCGTACTATTACCACAGCGCTATGTGAACATCCTAGTATGTGCAGTGTGTCTCTGAGTATGTTTGCTGAGTGAATATTTCAAGCATTCAGAAGCAGAAATGCCATCTTAATTTTGATAGATTTAAACTGCCTTTTAAATAGCTGTACCCATTTATATTCTTACTGACAGTATATGAGAGTAAGTTTCCTCACACTTTTGCCAAAAGCAAGTATTACACATCTTTGAAAAATTTGCATTTTGATAGCTAAAAAATAATACTTCATTTTGATTTGTATTTCTCTGACTACTAATGAGGCTTAGTGTTTTTCAAGTTTATTAATAATTTATGTATAATTTATATATTACACATAACGTAATTTATATAATATATAATATACAAATATGAACATATATATATAAATTTTTTTCCCTGATGAAATGCTTGCATTTAATCTGAAAAGTAGCTATTAGTTGGCAAAGAAGCCCAGGGAAGAAATATTTATCTGCCATGGCCAACCCACCGGGTCACGAGCTCTGAAGAGAGAACTTTAATGACCTAAAGTGCAACGTAATTGTTAATAACAGAAAACTAGATGGAGAAATAGGATTCATCTAATTATAAGATTGGACATGACCCATTGATTAATAAGACTGATGACTAAGAAGTTATTATCTAGTTAGAAAGACTTTTTGGTACTAGAAACACTGTTCACATTCCAAAAACAGTGATATCTTATTGGGTCCCCCCCGGGGGAGGTGTGAAATTAGCATAAAACAGCAGACAAACATCTGGTGTTTTAAATTTGACATCTCTGAATTACAGAGGGACCATTTATACAGCTTAATTTGGAGCTCATAACTTTAGTTTTCTAAACTGTGCTGTTATTAGAAATATTGGAAATATTCTTTATCTGTGCTGTCCAATAAAGTGGCCACCAGGCACATGTAACTCTTTAAATTTTAATTAAAATAAAGAAAAAGTATGAATTCAGTGCCTCTGTTACACAAGCTGCGTTGCAAGCGCTCAATGGCTGTATGTGGCTAGTGGCTGCCTTATTGGACAGCATGGAGAGAGTCTGTTTCAACATCGTTGCAAAAAGGGCTATTGGACAGCGCTGTTTCAGAAGCAAGAATGAGCAGAAGGGAAATGGGTTTTAGCTGATGGCTGCCTCATTCACTGTACTGAACTGAACCGAATCTGCTCTACACCTGCAAAGAGATGAATCCAGACAACAAGTTGAAGATGGCCACCGAGTAACGTCTCCTAAGCATGATTTGCTTCAGATTTACCCAAACTGAGAAAGGTTTGCGTTAATCTCTCTGTTACAGCTAACTAAAAAAGTCATTTGAAATGCTTTTTATCATTTGTCATTTTATTACTTTCTTTCAAATTTTATACAGTACTGTATCTGTGTATACTAGTATTCATGTCATTTGCTATGAAAGCTTCAGAATCTAAGATTTGTAGCTAAATAATACTGCTGCTTTCAGGAAATACTATGCTCTTGTCCTTTAGGGGAAAAAAATCTTTCATTTTTGTGATTATAAAAGTACAGTGCTCATGGTAAAAAAAAATTAAAATACATATAATTATAAAAAATTAAGTCAGTTGTAATCACACTACCCAGAGATAAACATAGCTAATATTTTGATGAATATCCTTCTAGGCTTTTTTGTATGCATCTCTACATATACTGGGGCCATACTATTCTATTTTAGAATCTGAATGTCACTGAAACAATATATCAGATGTCTTTTTACATTAGTATTTATCATTTCTACTGGTTGCATAGTACTACACTGTGGATGTACTATTATTTATTATGCACAATAGTCTTTCTTGTATAGAAAATTATTTTGGATGCTTTCAAGTTATTATTATTATAAATAACGTGAATAATATCTTTGTTTACATTTCAAAGTGCTTTGGAGAGTTGGGTCAAAGAGTATACTATTATTAACATAACAAAGTAAAATACAAATTTTCTCTATCTCAGGAATACAACTAAATTTTAGAAGGTTGATGCTTTTGCAAGTCTTTTTAACTATATAAAGCTTTAAAAAAGGAACTAAAGACTCCAGAACCAGTTATTTAAAAAGTGAAAACTAGCACTAGTTGACATGCCTAATTTAAATAATTAAACTTTTAAGAGAAAAGACATGATTTTCAACATCTTTTTCATGCAAATTTCAAGTGTGCTTAAAGAGGAAAAATAACAGTTTAGCAAAACAGTTAAGAGCTGACTTCAGAGCCACACTGACTGAGGTTGAACACCAGTTCTAGCTGTGTGACTGTGGCTAATGTAAGGTGTGCCTCAGTTTTTTTATCTGTAAAATGGGGAAACAACATATCTACCTATAGAGTTTTTGTGATGAACATTTCTCATAGCTATAGTATCCTAGTATGTCTGATAGTGTAACATTTCCCCCTCTATGAGGGATCCAGAACATACATTTATATTTTAAATGAAAGTGAATAAAAACATTCACTCTCTTTTTCTTTCCTTTGGGATATATGTCCTCTTAGGTATCCTAGGGTATCAACCTTAATATGGAACTACTGGCTGATAATCTAAGCACCTAAATTATAACTTGCACCACTGCTCCCTCCACAAAAGCAAGCTATATATCTTAAATAGGTCAAATAATGTTACAATGAAAATTTCTATAATACCACCACCACCACAATGATCCATTTATTTAAAGTAATATCCAATAACAATCGGGTAGTACAAAATAGTTGAGAACTTTTGGAGTTCATTTTGAGATGAGACAGATTTACAAAATTTTTGAGAGCAAAGTATGATAAGAATTTTATGAATACTCATAAATAGATTAATGAAATGATATCTAAAAATGCTCAAAAACTGCCAGAAAGAAACCAGAATTTAGACATTTAAATGTGGATGAAAAAACTAAATTCCTATAGCAAGAGCCAAATGTGTTTCCTTTGGTTTCATTAAATGCTGTTATCTTACTGAATTATCAAATGAAACACATTCATTTTCCTGTGGGCATAAGTGAGATTTTAAAAATCACTGACTTTGGTTATAACTTTTATATAAAATAATAAATAGGTTTGTAAGATTAAGTCAGTAGTTTCAGGAACTTCTCCAAAAGTTCTGTTTAAAAAAATTAAAACAATAGCAGCTAAGTAAGAAAACTCCTTCTAGGGATCCTTACAGTTTTATTCTTCATAGAGAATATATATATCCCTTCCCTAGGTATCTTTATTTATTTTTTTTTTTTGCATGGCATTATAAGGTCTATACATAAATGATTCTTATGTTCCTGATATCTTATATTCTTGGTAACAGATTATCACAGCTCTCTAGAAAAAAGTAAAACAACCAGCCCACTGAAAAAGTGATGCTTTGTTCATATTTTGGCCATAGGTTTACTTTAAGAAATAGCACACCCTTCAGGATGGAAGAATTTATCTGCCTCCTATTGGATGGGGTACAGAGCTAAGATGGCTCACTAAATAAACATGGGGGACTGGTACTTCCTTGGAGGCATTCTGGAGGAAGTTCACATCCACTCCACCATGATTGGAAAGATCTGGCTCACCATCCTGTTTGTATTTCGAATGCTTGTTCTGGGTGTAGCAGCTGAAGATGTTTGGAATGATGAGCAGTCCGGCTTCATCTGTAATACCGAACAACCGGGCTGCAGAAATGTATGCTATGACCAGGCCTTTCCTATCTCCCTCATTAGATACTGGGTTTTGCAGGTGATATTTGTGTCTTCACCATCCCTGGTCTACGTGGGCCATGCTTTGTACCGACTGAGAATTTTGGAGAAAGAGAGACAGAGGAAGAAAGCTCAACTGAGAGGAGAACTGGAGGGGGTTGAGTTTGAAATGCCTGGGGATCGCAGGAGACTGGAGCAAGAACTTTATCAGCTGGAGCAAAGGAAACTAAACAAAGCTCCGCTTAGAGGAACTTTGCTTTGCACTTACGTGATACACATTTTCACTCGCTCTGTGGTTGAAGTTGGGTTCATGATCGGACAGTATCTTTTATACGGATTTCATTTAAAGCCTCTGTTTAAATGCCACGGCCACCCCTGTCCAAATATAGTTGATTGTTTTGTCTCAAGACCCACAGAAAAGACAATATTCCTATTATTTATGCAATCCATAGCCACTGTTTCTCTTTTCCTAAATGTTCTAGAAATTTTCCACCTAGGTTTTAAAAAGATTAAAAGAGGGCTTTGGGGACAATATAAATTGAAGGATGAGCATAACGAATTCTATGTGAATAAGTCAAAACAAAATCTTGCCAAATATCAAAACACATCTGCAAATTCACTGAAGCAACCCTCTTCCGCATCCGATTATAATCTGTTAGTGGAAAAGCAAACACACACAGCAGTGCACCCTAGTTTAAATTCATCTGCATTTCAGGCAGATCCTGACAATCACAGTGGAAACGATGAGAAATGCATTTTGGATGAACAGGAAACTGCATTTTCTAAGGAGATGTGCACATTTAGTACTACCTGTAGTCATCTTCAACACATCGGCTCAACTAATAAAGAAGACATTCATAAAATATTTGGAAAAGAAGTTAATGGTAACCAGTTAAGGGAAAAAAGAGAAATTGATGGCAAAGACAGCAAAAGAAACGACTACTGTAGAGGTCACTGTCCTATTCCAGGTGTTGCTGTAGATCCGGACAACCACGCCGGGCAGTCATCCCAAACAGCTTTCTCTCAGCCACCTAATTGCACCTGGAAACCCAGGTGGCTTCGTGCTACATGGGGTCCTGCTACAGAAGATGAAAAACAGGCATCACCTCCAAAAGGTACCAATATCAAGGGCCAGCTCAGAGAGGGCACAATCAGAACCCTTCCTCCTTCACAGGGAGACTTCCAGCCACTTGACATTCCAGACACTCCTGATTCTTTGGAAGAGTTGTCCTTTGAATCCAAGTCGGTCAGAACCTGCAACAATCCTACTGCTTGTCCTCCGAATCGCTTAGTGCTGCTGGCAAACAACCTCAGCGGGAGGCGGGCCCCCACAGACCTTCAGATCTGAACAGCTGTTGGCTTTTAGACATTCTACATATTTATTATCATAGAAGTAGACCAGTGGTGGTGCAGCACAGACAAAACAAGGGCAGCTCTAAAGACCAGCTGTTTACAGACAACTGCAAACTCATTTCAAAAAGAGAAAATGGCTCTAATTCTGAATTGGGAAGGGGTAGTTTTAAATTAAAAGACCTAGTTACCAAATCAGGATTACTTTTTCACGGGCTCCCTACAGAATTAGTGAAAACTGATTTTGGGAAAATTACATGTTCGGAATCGAGACTAAATGGTTTGGAACCAGGTTTTTCCTTGAAGGGAGCACAGCCTTGTTCTTAATCTACGTAATACCCCCTTTTAGGTACTAATCTTTTATTTCTGGACGCTGGTGAAATTTTGTTTGCCCTGGGACTTAACTTAGTTTCCTTATAGATTGCAATCTGATGTGTCTTGAATATAGTCATAATGTTGCCATCTAGTCAATAAATTCTTAAAGAGATTGGTGGCTTTCTTTCACCTGTTTATAGCATCGTGATCCAGCGTCCAGACTGGAGTCTTGGTTCCGCTACTCACTGGTCATCTAACCTCGCCACTTTACTAACAGCACCTACCTTTCAGGCATAGTGAAGATTAAAATAAGAAACACACGTGTTTAATACAGTGCCTAGCACAGTAAGCGCTGAAAAGTGCTATTACCACGGTGCTGCTCACCGTCCCGAAGCCCACATCAAGTCGGCCAAGACGTCCTGCGTCGGTTGTGGGCAAATTTTCAGGGTGAGCCAAGAAGCCCACAGCTTCCGAGGTTCCAATTGAGGCAGGCCCGCCCACTACTGGTGTCCGGAGATCCTCCTCCCGGCAATAGTCCTAATGCTCCTGGGCTCCATGCCCATCTTTGGCCCCATCTGCACACATGTCCCGAGTTACCAAAACCTCGCCTTTCGCTAAGCAACCGAGTCGCCGCGGCGACCGGAAAAGGAAGGAGAGGTGCTGCTCCGGGAGCCAGAAGGGCGGGCGTACGCAGCCTCCCTCGGCTCAGCCCACCACGGGGCTTTCAGAGCGTCCCGGTCGCCATGAAAACAGGCCACACCCCGGCGAGCCAGGCCCAAGGTTGGCAAGTGCGCAGGCGCGCGCGCCCTTCCGCGCATGAGCAGTGCTGCTCGGAGCCCGCCAGCCACGGTCTCGGGCGCCAGCTACGCCGCTGCCGCTGTCACTATGGCCCATTACAAAGTGAGGGGGGCGCGGCGTGGCTGGGGGCGTGCGGGCGGTGGCCAGCCGCTGGGCGGCTCCGGGTGGGAGCTGGGGCGCGCGCGCAGGTTTTGGGGGCCCGAGGTGGCGAGGCGGAGGCGGGGTTGCCGCACTCCCAGCGCCTTCTTCCTGCTCCGGCCCCCGGGCTTCGGCCACTGACCCGCCGTGTCTCCTCAGGCCGCCGACTCGAAGCGCGAGCAGTTCCGGAGGTATTTGGAGAAGTCGGGGGTGCTGGACACGCTGACCAAGGGTGAGCATGGGCCAGGAGACGGTTCCTCGTGCCCTCATCGTGCTCCTCGGCGCTGCGCCCCAGATGGCGGGGGCGTGGGGAAGGAGGGGGAACAGGTGGGACCCGTCCCGGGCCCAGCAAGGTGGGCCGCGGGGCCCGGCGCACGCCTGGCTGCCGGACGCCGCCCGGGTGGGGTAGCCTCGCTCACGCTACCACTCTCCCCGCCGGGAGTGAAACTTGCAGCTGTTGCAAAGTCTCTCCAACTTCCGTTGCTTTGCCTCGAGCAGCCGCAGTGAGCCTGTGTGCTAAAGACCTTGAGATCCCTATTCCTCCCTCCTTACAATTTTTGCAGTCCTCAAAATCCTATAAAGAGACATTTTTCCTGGAACAAAGGGCGAGTGGGAAAATTACCAGATTCGAAAAGTGGGCCATGAAGTAGCTAAGTCAGTCTAATCCCCAAAGCAGGCGATTCATAGTCAATTTGGCTGTGGCTTTTCAACCCCCGTTTCCTCGTCTATATCAATTCCTGCTTTGTGCAGATTTCATAATTAAAGTGGAATTACAGTTTAAAGAGCTTAAGGGCACATCAAAATGGTTATATTGTTTTCACTTTTTAAAATGGAAGCTTACTGTTACACTGTATCTCTTCCTCCAGCGTTCAAGATCTAAATAGATGAGTAAGGTGCTTGAGACAGAAGGGTTCCAAGAGACAGTCGGGGTACTGCTTATTTCGTTAGCTCAGCCGTAATTTGAAGGCCTGCATGTATCACTCATTGGCTGGGACTTTCAAGGGTGTAGAACAGAAGAGCTGGCAGGGATGACGACCTGGGTCCATGTGAGAAATAATCTGGCTACTGCTCTTTGGCCAGAAGCAAAGGTTAGAAGAACATTCTGGGAGAAGAATAACTTTGAGTCTTGGCAGAAAGCAGGGCTTTCAATTCCTAAGCATGAGCCGGTATTTTTGAATTGTTATCTGCCTTGGGTTCAGGTACTGGTTTCCCTATCTTTGCAAATAAATTTCACCAAACATTAAGGGACTACTCTAAGAAAGCCCTGTGCTCTGCTGTCTCTGGAAGTGTCACTGATGCTTGGAATTTCATCAGTTCACTCCCCTCAAAAAAACTCCACAAGTTCATTTCTTTCATTTTTTTAGCCATTTTATTCAGGTCCCTGTTCTAGGCACTGGGGATAACAGCAGTGGAAAAAAAGGCCCTGCTCTGAATGAACTTATGTCCTAGTTGGGGAGACAAATAATAAATAAACTCATAGTGTCAGCTGGTGGTGTTATCAATACAAACATAACAAAGTAAGGGAATAAAGGGTGATGGGGTGGGACGTGTGTGCCATCTTATGTTGGGTGGTGGGGAAGGGCCTCTCAAGTAACATTTGAGCAGAGGTCTGAATGAAATAGTATGTGATGTCAAGAGTTCCAGGACGTGTAAGGAGGCCAGGGTGGCTGGAGGGAGTGAGTGACAGATAGAAAAGTAAAGGGCAGAAAAGTGACCACTGTGGGAGGTTAGTGAAGATGTACAGCTTTGTGGCCATACATGGATTTTCCTTTATGAGGGACTGGAAACCACTGGTGGCTTCTTTTCCCTTGCTCACATCCACTGGTGTTTAATCTCTGAATCTCCTAGATTTCCAGTCTCCTAAATAACATCAGATAACATGGTCTGTTTTGAGATGATCTATTTAAAATTTGATTTTCAGCTTCAAACAGAGGTACTTTACACAGATTTATAATTTTTATCCAGCCTATTTCCAAGAGGATTTGAAACTGCTTCTAACATTAAAACACTCTAAGACAGGATGGATAAAGATAAGTCATTTGGAAGAGGCATTTTAGTTATTTTGAGCACTACATCAACCTCCAAAAATCCTGGCTGTCAAGGCAAAAAGGGGAACATTGGGTATACAGTTCTTGTCTGATTAAAAGGAAGTATATTTTATCTATAGAAAAGCACAGGAAACTTGACATTTACATTATGTTCTGTAATTATCCACCTTGTAAGACAGAAATTTAGAAGGGGAAAGAAGAGGAAGAATGGGTACGAGTATTCATGTCTTATAAAATTAGGATTTAGTAGAGATCAGTGGAAATTAATGGAAGAAGAAACAGGTTTGAGTATATAATTTAAAGAAAAAGGTAATAAGTACAGAAATTAAAGAATACTGTAACATTAAAAGGAGAGGGGGAGGAGAGGAGAGGGTAGTGGTGATGCAAATATACCACTTTCTCAAAAAATAGCACTGGAAGTATATTTAGAGAGATGAAGAGCATCAGAACTCAATGTAAGATGTTAAAAGTACTTGCCCATTTGAATTTTTCATAGTCTGTTATTTTGATGAGTTATTAAAATTCTAAAAAATAAAATGGAAGCATGTAAGTTGGTTTACAACAAGAGTTCTTAACTTGGGGTCTCAATATGCACATTTTTTGTGTGTAGTTACATTTTTTGGCTTTTATCAGCTTTTTTTTTCAGGAAGATTAGCCCTGAGCTAACTACTGCCAATCTTCCTCTTTTTGTTGAGGAAGACTGGCCATGAGCTAACATCCATGCCCATCTTGCTCTATTTTATGTGTGGGATGCCTACCACAGCATAGCCTTTTGCCAAGCAGTGCCATGTCCGCACCCGGGATCCGAACCGTCGAACCCCAGGCTGCTGAGAAGCGGAACACGCGCACTTAACCACTGTGCCACCAGGCCAGCCCCTTATCAGCTTTTTCAAAGGGTTCCTTGCACAAAAATATTAACCTCTGTCTTAGAGATTTTTATCTTAGTAGTAAATTCTAGGCAGAATTTGTTCAGTAGAAGATGAGCAAGGTAGTGCTGACATGAGCTACTGGCTATGAAACCACTAAAGTATATATTTTAATGCTGATTTGAGCATGTCGCTTACTGGGAAAGGTTTTGGTTGGTGGTTATTTAGCATGTGGTGAAACTTCATTCTTGAAGAACGTTTTGAATTCAAAGCTTCTTCCAGTAATTACCATAGCCCTCTTGACTCTCAAAAATTTGTCTCAAATTTGTCTACCTTGCTTTCACCTTTCCATCACTCTAGTGCAGGTCAGCATCTTTTTCAACTGGATTACCACATCAGCCTCTTAACTGCTCTTCCTGCCTTTGTCCTTGTCCCACTCATCCATCTTCCACAGAGCAGTCAAGAGTGAGCCAGTCACTCTCTTGCTTAAAACTGTTTAATTATATGCTTGTTGTTCTCAGGATCAAAGTCCAACCGAACTAGCAGGATCCTCCATAGTCTGCCCCCTGACCACCTTTCCAGCTTCCTTTCCTGCCACATGTTCACAACTCCATCTAGCCATACTTGAATTTTCAGTTCCTCAATCTGTTGTTTTCTTGTCCCCTGGCCTTCCTATTTTATCTGAAATCCTCATCGCCTAGGTCTCAGGTCTTATTTCTCTTCCTTTAGGGAGCTTTTCCTGGTGCCCTGGGCTGAGTTAGGTGTTCTTTCAACGTGCTCCCATAACCCATTATCCTGGGTGGCTGCCTGATACTTTTTTGGTCTAGGTCCTTGCTTATGTTTTACATTAGACACTAAATTCACTGAGAACGGGGACCTTCTCTGTCTTGTTCACCGTGGTATGGACAGTGCTAGCAACATGCTTGGCATATAACAGGCACTTAATATTTACTGGGTTATGGAATATAATTTCGGCCATTCAAATTTAAGACTTTAATTGTTGCTTTTTCTGCTTTTTGATTTGCAGTATTGGTAGCCTTATATGAAGAACCAGAGAAACCTAATAGTGCTTTGGAGTATCCTTTTCATCTTTCAAGTCAGAAAAAGGCCTTATTTTTGGAACTCTTATTTTTTATATAGATAATAATCTTAAAATACTTTTTATTATTGAAAAAGTTACTTTCCTTTCAGTTATTGGATGATGATCTCTGGGTAAATATTGGCATTGGGTGGGGCAACTCTGATCAGAGATATTGACGCTACCCCTGGGCTATTTCACTAGTTTCATTCAGCTCAGGTAAATTCTTAACTTTGATATTAGTTTTTTAAAGCATCACTTAGGAGCTGCTACCCCAGAAAATCCAGAAATAGAGCTGCTTCGCCTAGAATTGGCAGAAATGAAAGAGAAATATGAAGCTATTGTAGAAGAAAATAAAAAACTGAAAACAAAGGTAAATTTTTAAAAAGAATTCATGTTAAAAATAACTTCACCTTTAATGATTACATGATCAAAATCTCACTAAAATGGACAGCAGGGAGGGAGGAAGGTGAATATCAATTTCAATCAATTGCAAGGCCAAACTGGTGCCCTGTCTGGAAAACTACAAGCTCATTGTAAGTAGGACAAGCAAAGTGTGGTCAAGAAGAGGTTCTTGGGAACCTG